CCCAGGGGTTAACCTGAGCAACTCTGTCCAGGTTCAGTCCCGAATCCAAGGATTCCGCGAGGAGTCAGTCCGACAGGGCCAAGGCAGGACACAAGGCAGGAAACCAGGCTAGGTCAGGCACAGGGTCTCAGGCAGGTTCTAGCAAACAGCAATGTTGCTCCCGCAACCTGGGGCGGGGTCCGACAGCCTTTTACCTTTGTCAGGGTAACAGCCGGTCCTGATCCCCCAGTGACTCACCTCTCTGTCTCGCCCGAAGGTGAACACTTCTCCTGCAAGTACTCAGGTCTCTCCTTCTCTCAGACCTTAGTCTCTACAGCTTGGGAGATGTCGGTGAGTTACTAGACCCAGAGGCCGCCTCAGCCTCTCCTGACCCAACTGGTAGTGGAGCAGCTGTAAGTTATTGCCCAGCTGAAGGCAATGATGTGATCCCCGCACATCTGGAGCCAGGGCAGGCTCAGGCCCCTGACTCGGCCCAGCTGGTGCTTGTTGCAGGGGAACCTGTGCAGGCTGGGGCTCTTCAGAATCAGGCCCCAGACTTGGTTCCGATGCAGCCTGAGGCAAAGAATCCAGTGCAGACTGAGACTCCTCTGGTTCCGAGTCCGAGCACATACAGCCCTTCCCTTCACACTTTCTGAAACTATATGAAAACCGGCCCAGAGACACCTCTTGGCATTCAGACTTCTCTGAATGTTGCAATTTTGCAGTTCTCCAACCAAACAATATTTGGGGGGGGGGGGGAAATGGCTGCATTCAAAAGTGTTGCAAAAATGGCTTCAAGTTACAAGAAAGGAGATTCTGACTAAACACCAGGAAGAACTTTCTAGCAGTAGGAGCCATTTGACAGTGGAACGGTCTCCCTCTGGATGTGGTGGGCTCTCCTTCCTTGGAGGTTTTCAAGCAGAGGTTGGATGGCTATCTGTCAGGGATGCTTTAGCTGAGATTCTTGTATTGCATGGGGTTGGACTAGATGACCCTTAGGGTGCCTTCCAACTCTACAATTCTATGATTCCCTCTAGTCCTCACTGAGAAAGGGGAGGTGTCCTGTATCTAGCAGCTAGCAGATCATCCATGCACATTCAAGCAAGCATCTTGTAGCCATTAATGCCTATTAAAGAAATAGCTTTAGCAATCTGCTATAAGCTATATAAATGCCTATAGAAAAGTATGTCTCCTTAATAATCACAGCTACAAAAATATGGACAAACTCTCCACATAAGCTGCTCTGTTTAGCAGAGTAGAGTAAACCCAACTCAGTACTCGAGAACAAGCCATTTAAAATGTACCTTCATTAAAACTATACACATTCTGAATCCTTGGAAGCCTGTGTTCAAAGAAAGTTCAGAACATAGCCAGTTTCAGAATGCTGTTTCATCAAAGCTAAATATAGCTCTCTGTGACCACTTAGTCTTTTGCCTTATGTTTATAGCCAGGGTTTGGAATGCATTTTTGACTACAGGAATGGAAAGTACGATTTAAGAGATTTCCTGTTATTTTGCAGGTTTTTAAACCACTGGAACATTTCTTTTTCTAAATCACAACAAGGAAGTACCAAAAATGCCATGTGAATGCATTGCATGCTTTCTTCTTGCTGCCACTATTAGAATCGTTACTCGTTTGCACTGCGCTTTTCAACACACCAGGATAACACTGGGCAGAAAGTGATGCTGGTGAATGAATGGCAGTGAATAACTCGTCTGGGACAAGCACAATTTAAAGTAGGGGTAGGGAAATGTGGACCTCCACATGTTGCTAGACTCAATCCCGTCAGCCCCAATGGTGAGGGATGATGGGATTTGTAGTTCAGTATCATCTGGAGGGTCACAGATTCATCCCTGTTCTAAAGGAATATCTGTATAATCATTTCAAGATTATTTTGCTTCTTTATTTATTTGGCTCCTTGAAGCTCCTTGAAGCTCCTGACTACCAAAGCTTGGTAGTCAGGCAGCCTTCCCCAACCTACTGCCTGTGGATGCCGTTGGACTCCAAATCCCATCAGCGCCAACCAGCATGGCCAATGGCCAGGGATGCTTTGACTTGTAGTCCAATAACATCTAGATCAGCCTTTCTCAACCTGTGGGTCCCCAGATGTTGTTGAACTACAACTCCCATCACCCCTAGCTAGCAAGACCAGAGCTCAGGGATGGTGTGAATTGTAGTCCAACAAAATCTGGGGACCCACAGGTTGAGAACCACTGATCTAGATCAGTGGCATAGCGTGGGGGGTGCAGGGGGGCTGGCCGCATTGGGCGCAACATCTGGGGGGGCGCGCTCGCACTCGCAGCTCTCTGCCCCTACTAAACTCCACGGGTTAGGGGGCGCAAATCACTTGCCTTGCCCCGGGTGCTGACAACCCACGCTACGCCACTGATCTAGATGGACTTAGGTTGGGGGAGTCTGATATAAGGGCATGGTTCTTGCTGTGGACGTCAGAGGTTCTGGGTTCAATTTCCAGTTGAGCCCATATGTTGGAGGAAAGAGGCATATTTCCTCCCAGGACCATTTCTCTCTATTTATCCGCCTTGCCTCTCAGCTGATCTAGAGTGTTTTAAGCTTCCCATGGCCACCACCATCCCCTTTTGTGCTGGTAATTCCAATGGGCCTGGAGGAGAGGGATGCAGGGATGCAGGATCTCCATTGTTGGAAGGTAGCAGGGGTTGTGGGAACAGTGCATTGACCAAGCCTCTGTCCTGCCAGCTCCTCCAACAATGAAGATCCTGGTTTTCTGTCCCCATATGCGCCTCTTCCAGACCAATGTACAACACAAATCCTGGCTTGGAGGCACTCTTGTTCAATGAGCTGAGTGGAGGTACTCAGATATCTGCCTCCAAGTCCAGGCTTACTGGTGCTTTTGGGTGCACCTATGTTGGTGCGGGGACGCAGGTGGTGCTGTGGGTAAAACCTCAGTGCCTAGGACTTGCCGATCGTATGGTCGGCGGTTCGAATCCCCGTGGCAGGGTGAGCTCCCGTCTTTCGGTCCCAGCTCCTGCCCACCTAGCAGTTCGAAAGCACCCCTAAGTGCAAGTAGATAAATAGGTACCGCTTTATAGTGGGAAGGTAAACAGCGTTTCCGTGTGCTGGTGCTGGCTCGCCAGAGCAGCTTCGTCACGCTGGCCACGTGACCCGGAAGTGTCTCCGGACAGCGCTGGCCCCCGGCCTCTTACGTGAGATGGGCGCACAACCCTAGAGTCGGACACGACTGGCCCATACGGGCAGGGATACCTTTTTATGTTGGGGCGAGGGGGAGGAGGTCCTAGCAAAATGGTACAGCACATGCTTGACAACTCAGGTGGGAGTGGATTTAGAAGCAGATAACCAGGCCACTGCTTTGAGAGGCAGAGTTTGGGCTTGCCAGGCTCAGGAAACATCCGCCACATGCTATCTTAGCAATGATCCATTCCATGGCTGAAATAAATAGTATAAACAGTTCATATGGTATGAATAAATATAGATTTACAGAGCCTGGCATGCACATTTATCAACTTATATGACAGGGATGTATTATTTATGGATGCAAACTGCGTGCCAAAGTCATGAAATCGGCTACAAGTGCAATGAAAAAGGAACATATTCAAAAGCTAAAGAGACAGAGGGACAGAGCAGATGTTCCTTCCCTGGAGCACAATTTGTTGTAGGACTGACTCTTGCCAGTATAGTCTCCAGTCAAAATGAGACCTTGGGAAGTGTTGCTGGTCCACATAGAACAGGGGTGAAGAAATTTCACCAGCACAGGAGCCTTCTGGGGTCCACAGCAGGGTTACAGACAAAAGTGGGTGTAGAGATGAATGTGTCACCTTTGTGCAACAGGATGGTTTCTGCTCCAGTCATGCACCCCTCCCTATCCCCCACCCAGGCAAGCCAGAGGCATTATCAGAGTTCAAGGTAAACATTCCACACAGGCAAAAACACACAATGAGGATGTGAAGCAATGCAGGTGAGGTGTGTGACCTGGGGGAAGAGGGTGTGACTGTGAAAGGGACATGGCCTAGGGGGAATAGAGGGGCCTTGAGGCCAACATTTGGCCTCTGGGCTTGAGGTTCCAAACCCCTGGTGTAGAAGAATATATACTGGGTCAGATGGTCCTTGTGAAACGCTTTCCTCCCAAAGAGTATTTTTTTTTAATGGAGAACCAGCCTGTTCCTCATCTGCAACAGCTAGGCCCCACCTGCACTGTACTGTTAATGCAGCATCATACGACTTAAACTGACATGGCTTCCCCCAAATAATCTTAGGAAGTGTAGTTTGCTAAGCTTGCTGAGAGTTGTAGGTCTGTTAATAACTTTCTTAGCCCCTTTAACAAAGCTACAATTTCCAGGATTCTTTGTGGGAAACATGGCTGTTTAAAGTGGTATGATACCACACAGTGAGTCTGTACTCATTTACCTGGAAGTAAAGACTGTGCTGTTAGTGACCCAGGAAGACCAGAGTCTCGTTATAGGAAGAACTTGCTGGAACAGGCCAAGGCAGGGCCAAACCAAGACATTTTGGCACTTGAGGTGAACCACAAAACGGTGTCCTCCCTCCCCTTAAGGGAAAAAGTGATGAATCAGTATCAAAGGGAGGGGGGAATTAGGATCTGCTGCCCCTATGAATCCTGCCACCCAAAGCAGTTGCCTCACCATGCCTCATGTGTGGGCCTGACCTTGGCCAAGGTAGATGGCACATCTCTTTCAGGATCCCTTTCTGGATCCTTTGCTAGCCAGATGCCTATGGGAAGCCCACAAGCAAGACCTGAGTACCAGATCCTTCTCCCTGCTTGTGTTTCCCAGGAACCAGCATCCAGAGGCACACTGCATCTGACAGTGGAGGCAGAACATTTTTGCACAGCAGGCTAGTTATATACATGACTTTCTTCTTCTATAGGCAGCTGGGCAGGGCCGCAACCACAAAAAGTGGGCTAGGCCCACTTTGGCTATTGCCTCTTGGCAAAGGAATGGCTTTAAATTCTCAAACAGCTTAAGGCAGACATGCTTGGCAGTGGTAGAGTTTGACAAACACTTCTA